TAGTATTATATAGTTAAGATTTAAGTAATTTATAAGGTTTATTGTGAAAGGTGGGTAGATGTAGAACTTGTGATTCCATCTACTTGCCTTGGGCCTCCACTCGCAGCAACCTCCTCGTGGTGAGGCCTGGGCAATTGGTATTATCTTCGGTAAAGTATTGTAAACTGAAGGCAATACCGAGCTAATGGCTGCGAAATTAAAATTAATTTCTCTAGTTGTAAGAATGAATGTAAGATCGAGTATTTTTGGTGAATGTTCTGTCTTACATGAAACTTAGAATATTTTAAGGCAACATATACGATAGAAAATCTTTGTTTATTATAAAGATACGTAAAATAAAAATTTGTGTTTCAATTGCTTTCTTGATAAATATTACTCACTTAGGTGTGATAATGCAGAATAGAAGTATGCTATTTGTATTTGAAAACATATAACTCTTGTTGTCATTGTAAAACGATTGTTTAATTACATTGTACAATAACATTGTAAATCGATTAAATTTACATAATAATATTAGCGTGTTTATAATAGCAATATTAATCGTTATTACTTTCTTGTACTCGAAAAAAAAATAATATGTTTGGTAGGACTTGAACTCAAAACCTCTTTGTAATACGTTTACGTTAGTGATTGCAATAAACGAATGCCTACTTTATGACGTCATACCTAATCTGTATGCAACAACATTATTTCAATTGCTCCTTGTTAATAAGTTGTTATTAAGATATCTGACCATTGAATATTATAAAACAAATTGGGAGCAATTTTTTAAGATGAAAATAGTTAAGAAATACTAATATTCCGTACTAACTATTCTTCGGTCCTACTTTTCTGGGGTTACATACCCCGTTACAATTTTAGTGTCACTACCCACCGCAGATTCATCGTTCTCAAAACGTAGAGGTCGCTAAAATCATAGGTTGTTTATGCTGTCGGTACTACAGTTTAGGTGGGCCACCAACTCTCATAAGATGAAAGGTCTGTTTTTATACATCCCTCGTCAGTGCTAATATTCCGCGCTAACTATTGGCCAAAAAATACATTCGATGAAATGTCAACTCCTACCTTACCAATGATGAGTATCATGAACGTAAATTTTTTCGAATAATGTATCTAAAGAGCACTGTATCAAAAAGTTCTATCGTTTGCCGTAGGATGGACTAGTGCGGCATTATTCAAATTTCACGGAATCATTTATTCCTACGAATTGAACTTTTGGAGTAAATTGACCTTTGAATCATATTGGAAGGCATTTTTATTTGGATAAGTACACCTTCAATTCCTATAACACATCCTGTGCTTCCAAATTCCGATTCCTTCATTCAATATAATAGACAATAAGGTCATGATCGTTCTGTTTTAAATTGTGACACTTTAAATCACTTTCAGATTTTTAAAATCGAGGTCTGCAGGAAATTAACATTCCTTTTAGTTTTCTTTACCTCCTCACCGAGAACTTGAAATTGGCGCATGGAATGCCAAACAGAATTTTTCGAACTTTCATCCCTCTTTTTCGAAATAGACCATTCGCCCTCTATCGTTTCCATTGAAACGTTGTTTTATTAGAGTACGTCCAACCCTTAAACCCCGATGAATGATTCAAGCGTTCCGTGAAACGTAGCTGATTGACATTCCGCGAAAGGAATGGCCTCGAACTTTCGCGAAAGCTGTCGCGACGATACGTGGTCGTTGAAGAAATCGCCGTCTACAGGCAAAGCTGTTCGGTGTCGTACGAAGGGAAACGGATCCATTGTTAATTCAGTCGGAAATGATTCGAGCCACGGTGGTTATATTTACACGGGCTGTATATTGCGGGCGACCCCAGTCAGACGAAGACACTGTCACCGAATCAATATGGCGTTTCCGAGAAGAACCAGAAATGCTTTTGACATACCCGGTTCTTTAGCGGTTGAATTATTAATGCGCCGTTCTTCGACCGATCTGTCGCGCTCGGACGGTTTTCCTTGTCGCGGTGACACACGTTTTCATCGAACCTTTTGCCGTACACGCGATTCGCGATGAATCAGGGTGAAACACGGACTCTTTATACATATAGAGGTTGATGGAAATCATACCAGAAGTTTTACTCGAAACACATTCAGGAACACATTTCAATTTCACCTTCACTTGTCCTGATTAATTTGTATGAATATAATAAATTCGTTTAAACATTACCAATCACACGACACCCTGTGTATTTCACTGAATGCAATAGCTCTAACAAATTCGAAGAACTTCTATATATTTTATATCGAAATGCGACATCACATTCAAAAACACTCTATACATCTATTTAATTCCCCCTAATCAACATACGGACAACGAGCCGAAACGAGAGAAAGCAGTTTTCCAATTCAATAACCAACATCCATCATGAACCGTCAATGACACACACACATGTGTTTAAACCGGTGAGAAAGAAACCGCCGCACCTGCATGGACTACCTCGTCCGATAAGAATAAATACATTTCCGATATTCCCGGGCCCCGTATCCGACGTTATTAAGAGCGGCCATTTAATAACTGCTTGATGAAAACTTGAGAAGATTCCACCTTGGATTGCCAAGATTAATAACGGTCGATATGTATCTGAAGATTTCCGAAAGAAGCTTCCCACCCAGGTTGGTTAGAGGGGTGGGCAGAGGGGTGGGTGGGGGACAGAAGGAAGAAGAATGGAGGCGAGCAACGAGTCGGAGAAGCCACTCAGAAAGTAATTTGCTCAATGCTCGGCCGAACAAGGGAGACCCGTGTAGAAGCCGTCGGGATACGCTCATAGATGAAGAAAAAGGGTGGAAAACCGGCGCGAAGGAAGAAAGATCGCCTGGGTGGTTCCCTGTGCAGTGGAGGGGAGAGAGGAAAAATCGGCGCGGAGCCACGACGAGGAAAATGCAAAATGGCTTTATAGGACGT